CTGGAACGTGAATTGGAACGTGCTACGGCACGTGTGCCGCCCACGCCGCCACAGCGCCGACAAAGCAACGGCCTCAGCCACAACAAGTACAATTATGATTTTGAATTCAATCTGAACCTGAACGATATCAACGATCGCAGTTCGCTGCCGGCGCCAGCGCCAGCCCCAGCCCCAGCGCCCTATACGACACGGAACATAGAGTTCAGACAGGATATGGATGTACCGGATGGTGCGATTCGTGGCACTAGTCGGCGCTTGGAGTCCACACTTGTGGAACGCAATTATCACACAATTAACAACAGCAGCCGCAGCATCAGCAGAGGCAACAACTACAACAATTACCACAGCTTGGAACGACCTCCAATGGAAGTGACATACAAACAGCTCGCAGAGCCACAGTTGGAGCAGCAGGCGAGCATTTATGGCCAGAACCAGCTGCATCTGGAGACGCACACGCGCAGCCGTCGCGATTTGTCACCCATTTATGCCATCAGCACGAAACGCAACGCAGCTACCGCTGCAGCTGCTCCAAATAGCAATAGCCATCAGGTACAGATACAGCAGCAGCAGCAGCAGGCGGATTACCTGCTGACACCCAGCCCCACTAGCCGGCCAGAGACGCCCGCTTTTCCGGTCACGCCACGCACGCCGTTCGGCAGCAGCAGCTTGCAGCGCGCCTCCCCCACCACCGAGTCCATATACCAGACAATGGCAACCAATCGGCAGCGCCTCAATTCAGCGCCCTCGCCCACCTTTGAGGTGGCACCGGATCTGGTGAAATTTGCCCGCAACTCGGCCAAGTTCTGGTACAAGCCGATGCTCTCCCGGGAGGATGCCATAGCGCTGCTGATGAATGCACCACCGGGCACTTTCCTGGTCCGTGACTCCACCACCTATGCGAATGCCTACGGACTGGTGCTGCGCGTCGCTCAGCCGCCGGCGGGAAGCCAGGARCTGGTGCGTCATTTTCTCATTGAGCCGACGCAACGTGGCGTCCATCTGAAGGGCTGCGACAACGAGCCCACCTTCACCTCGCTCTCGGCCCTGATCTATGAGCATTCCATAAATAAGCTGGCGCTGCCTTGCCTGCTGCGCATACCCGATGAGGATGTGGTACCCGGTTTGGCGTCCACCACGCCGGCCCAACAGCATCTGCTCACCCATGGTGCGGCTACGAATGTGCTGTGGCTCTACAGCTGCGACACGGAGTCGCTGACTGGCAACGAGGCCATACGCAAGGCCATTCGGCAGATGTACGCCCAGAAGGAGCTGCCCACGCCCACTGAGGTACACTTCAAGGTCACCGGACAGGGCATCACCCTGACGGACAACACGCGCAAGAAGTTCTTCCGCAAGCACTACACAGCCGACKTCATCTCCCACTGTGCCATCGACCCGGATAACCGCACGTGGAACTACAATGGCAACGAGGCCGACAAGAAGACCATCTTCGCCTTTGTCGCCCGGCGATCGCACAGCTCCAAGGATAATCAGTGCCATGTCTTCTGCGAGCTGTCCGTGGCGCAGCCCGCAGCGGCGATTGTCTCCTTTGCCAACCGCACGCTGCCCGTCGAGAAGCAGCGCAACTACGTGCTTTGAGGAGCGGCCGGACATGGAAATGGGCCACCAGCCGAAGGCACAGTAGGTGAGTAACCAGCGACCTGATGGAGGGTCATAAAGTCGAGGCAAATTGCTCTTGGTCTAGGGTGTGCCAGCCTTTGACGTGCATTCAATTACAGTAGACACCCTTAGAAGGGAACCAATCTTCATTTCAAGTATTTTATATGGGGTAAAAATGAAAATGAAAATACAAATTTGTTTCAATTATATATTAACATGCCAAAAATTTCAAATTAAATCAATTTTAAATCAAATCAAATGATGGGTCAAATTAATACGAATTTAACAAACAAAAATTAAAAACTAAATTTAGTTTGCCAAGATTTTCTTTAACATTTTGAAACTTATTTGTTAAAGAGTTTTTTATAAAACGTGTCTTCCCATAAAATTAAATATCAGGTTACACTAATTATATTTCATAAATTCATATATGTATATGTATTTTATACCAATTCTGAAATTCACAGTAAAGCAACTTAATAGCTCCCTATATAAAAATTATCCTTTGAATCAATTAAATTAAACAATYTATGAATTTATAAATGCTCAGAGAAGTCTATATAAAACCATTAAAAAAATTATTTTGGATATGAATATCTGTATTACGAATACCTCAGATTCCAGACTCTTCTACAGTATTCACTATACATTCAAATGTTCCATCATTTTTAGCGTCAAACGGAAAACGATTAAAATTGTTTCAGTTTCTTAGGCGTTGCTTTCAGCTTTTCCCCTCGTTTGTTTATTTACCATATAACGCAACGCCCCACACAACCCTTCGGCWGTGTTTGTTTGTTTTATGGCCTTCATATGCATATACACACTGTAGCCGGGCCATATAAACATCGTCTAAAACACATTTCGTTACGTTAGTCGCGAGTTCTTTTTCGCAACGGAAGTTTGTGCCATGAGTCAGTTGCCCAAAATATGATGTAGAATACAAATTGGATTGATTTTCGATCTAGCTTAGATGATTATATGGTAGCCGATTGGCTAATGGGCCCACACACACCTACTATGTAGAACTACATTTAAGGCACTACGTTGTTTACC